ATAATATTATAATATTATTATATAATATATATATATATATATATATATATATATACATACATATATATATATATATATATATATATACTACAATCTTTAAAGTTTAATAAACTGTTTAATGTTTAATAAAATATCTAATAAAATATATATAAAAATGTCAAAAATGTCAAAAATGTTTAATTACATAGACATTGAATTGAATTGAATAATAAGATATTGAATAAAAATGTAATAGTACTTATAAAAATAATATATATTATATATGCATAAATTTAATAACACAAAAATACTATTATTATAAAATATTTTATATAAAACTTTTAAAATAGTTCGTTTGTACGATAGCAAAATACTATTTATTTCGTCAAAATGGATAATCTTCTTTCTGAATTATCTGAAGATAATATATAAATTTTATGAAAAAATGCATTCACTTTTAATGTAACTTAACTTTGCATAAAAATTGCTAAATAAATATTTCTCGTTTACTTTCTCGGTTTCCTTTTGTTTGACGAAAGACGAAGTCATCTTTCGTTTCGATGCCATCATCTTACAAGCAATTTCGAGAGCAACGCCCAAGAGGGGTTTACACTCGCGATGGTGCAAGAAATCGAGAGAGAAAAGAGAAAGAAAGAGAGAAAGAGAGAAGACGTGCAAGACGGGAATAACGAGGGAAAGGAGATGGTAGAGTGGAGGTAGGTAGGCACGGTCATCAGAGGAAGATTAAGAAGAGGAGCAAGGACCTCCGACAGAACCGGTCATCGTCGTTCGTCCGTCCACGTAAACTCATCTTCCATCTCGTGGCAAGAGATCGCACGCCTCGATTACTTGCGCCACGGATCTCAACGGATCGCGAAATGAAGTCGCGGAATGAAATTTCTCTCCCTTACCCAATGGTCTCGGCATCATCCTTCTTCGCTCCGCTTATCAAAATATATGACGAACAAAGCCATATGTTCGTACCATAATGCATTATGCAGTTTGTAAATGTGAAATGCCATTTCTCAATAATTATTTAAAAATTTAACAACAAAATTACACAAAACATTTTAAATTATGTTTAATTTTTTTAAGCTATGCTTCATGCAAAATATTTCTTTAATTTAGTTTTAGATGATTAGTAATAATTAATAATATTTTACAAATATGATGATTTCAATATAAAGTCATCTATTTTAAGAAAGTATTATTCGTTGTCAATTCATTTTCATGTATGGTTTTATGTAACGTATGTATATTTAAAATTTGAACCAAATTCAGAACAGGATTTCAGAGCTAATTCGTCGATCCATTCACACTCACAATTTTTCGCATACCACCGCGATGGTGATCGAGGTTCATCGATCGAACGCAGTGGGGTCGATCTTCGCGCGCGAGTTCACCTTGAACAGCCACCTGGTGAACGCCTACACCGCCCACGATACTTCGCCGTTCTTAAACTGGCTCGAAAACTACCTTCGTTATTATGAACACAACGCGTATCTCGTCTTTCCATTTCTTATGCAAAAATTAAAGATTACATATAAGACTGCTTGTTGATTAAATCAGATAATTAGGAAATCCCTCATGCATCAATAAGAATTTATATTCTCTTGTCATCAAGTCAATTTATTTAAAAAGTTATATTACAAATATATTATAATTCATCACTTTGTATTTTGGAGTTATATAGTTTATGTAAAAAACTTACTATTTCTTTGATGATAGAAAAGATTTTATCGATAAGAACAATTCGAATAAATTTTTCTTTTAATATACAATTGAGTATTAATGTTAAGATTTTTGTATTAACCTAGAACGATTTCTGTATTAACCTAGAAAAAAATCTAAAATTGAGGGCAAGTCACTTGGCAATCCATCAATAACTAATTCTTCTCAGTTATCTGTTTTATCTAGGTCAACAAAGCGCTATACTTTTTGTAGATCTTTCTGGGTTTATCTACCCACGGATTTATTTGCTCGTGACGTTTTAACGTAAAAAAACGATCGAAGAAAACTTACTTGGCGTACGCTTTCTCCAGCAGTGCCGGCCAGAACTGATCGCTATGGCGACTTTGCACGAAGGCCAGTCTTCCGTGAACCGCTGGTAATCTGTCGTCAACGAGAACTTCCACCCACGCGCCACACCACCACAACCGAAACCTGAACACCCCGGCATATTCTGCGGTCGGCGAGCCCGGTGGTTCTCCACCGCTGCCGAAACCCTGATCGGCTGGTACTACCCTATAGAATAGACCCTTGCTAAGATGAAGCACTCCCAGACAAGACACTAGCCATTTATCACCTGAAAATATGAGAGTATTTTGTTAATATCTTGTCTGCAAAATCTAAACGATATACTTCATATAACTAAAAGACATATCGTCTTAATCAATTTTTAGCAAAAAATTATTCCACTTTCAGTAATTTTTTTGCAATTATTCTTTATATTTCAGTTTTATTCAATAATTTCAACGGAGGTTTAATATTTTACAAAAAAGAAATAACTCATACAAAAATCTGTGAATTAAATACCGTGATTTAAAAAATTCTTAAAGTTTAGGAAATGCTTAATGTATGTATATACATTATTACTATATAAGCTTTTTAATTTCACTCTAAAATGCTTGCCGATATTATAGTTCTTAATTCTTAATAAACATAAAATTAATTTGCTTATCATAATATTTTACATTCTTTAAAACATTAATAAATTATAAGATTAACAGAAATAAAATCTTCTTTTAACGCTTAATTATAAAAGACAAAATGACTTGATAATGTCTGTCGAACATGTCTTAAAGTCGTAAGAAAATTATCTAGGATCCATGGCGCTCTATCTTGTTGCATTCACTTACTTCACTTTCGTTTTCGAAGGTCTAATCGCTGATCGAGCATTTGCTTTTACCGGTTTTTTTGTTCATTTAATGTAAAGAAACGGAGGGAAATAAGAACAAAGTATCTGAACGCGAATTTACACTATCCACTTTCGATAATGACTTTTATGCATTTTGATCAATTTGTAGGAAAATATTAAAACGTATATAGACAATAACAATTTATTTGTTTATTATTATAAACTTCTAAATAATAATCTAAAATACTATAAATAAACTTTGATAAGTTTATTGTCTATTATTTTCTAATATGTCATTAATTTAACTAATTTATTATTTATTCTATTCCTTTTTGTTATTTAAATTAGTTCTTTAAAGTGATTATTAAATAAAATGATAATTTTATTATATATTTTTTAATAATTCTCCCTCTCATTCTCTCTCTCTCTCT